TTTTCATGTGACTCATGCATATAATCACTGTCTGTAGCTCTAGTTTAGTGAAGATTATGGTAATCTGGAATTTGTTCCTTGTGAATAAACACTTTTTAAAAAAAATTTTTTTTTAAACAGCTGTGTAGTTAAATAGCAGCACTTAATGTTTTCAGTTCAAAGATTTCTAGCGTTTTTATGGAAACTCGGTCTTCCTTAAGTCAAAGAAGCCAGTTTTGCAATTGTAAGTAATGTATATTTAAGTTGGTCTTGGATGATGGTCCTTTCTTAAGGAATGCCAAATATTTAAATCAGTCATAAGACTTGCTTCTGCAACACCTAATTGAAAATCAACACTAGTTGATTTGATGAGCCGTGGAAGATTAGTAGACAGCGTTCAGAATTTGAATTTCATGTGATCCAGAGGTGTCTCACTAGCAATAGTCAGACATTTTTATAATGTCTGCATATTCTAAATTTATATCCGTTATTGAAGTTCTTGCTTACAAGTGTGTGAAATCCATTTACGTTACCTTTGTAAACATCTCAAAATAATGAGGCACGCTTTTTTTTTTTTTGTTATTACCTCAAGGCTAGAAATAAGTCAGCAAGTAAGCAGACTAAAATCAACTTCTGAGCATGTCTGTGTGCAATAAATTTTCCCTTTGCTGGTTTGAGTTACTGGGAGAGATCAGTATAACAGATGATGTTTAATTTCTGATTATTAATCTGATTCATAATTGAGGATTGTTAGTGTATAAAATCAGCTATCAGCTGGTATATGTTCAAATGACTTTCCAGGTGAGGTAGAGAGCACTTTGTCTAAGTATGACGTCTCACTCTGAAATAGAGATCTAAATAATATAAAAATATTGCTGTAGATTATTTTGTAATCATTACGCTGCTGTCGGTAACATTGAACACCACAGGCTCTGTGTTGCTGCAAATCGAGAAGGTGGAATTTAAAGGTAAAAATAGCTCAACGTTAAATCCATCCCCTGCCCTCGAGGTCTGTTGCCATAATTGGCCCAGTGTAGGCAGGGTTTGAAGTCCTCAAATGTGATCTTGCTGCCTTATTTGTGTGTGTCTTGATTATGTCAAATTTTATGCCTGTTGTCGCTCTATTCAAAGTACCAGCAAATTTGTGATGTCCCAGCTTTCTAAGATAGGTTAAAAAAAAGGCGATTGGGATGTCAATTTTCTCATATCTTCATCCAAGAACATTTTTGAAACTAAACAATGGGAGTGCAGAGGGGAAAAACTGGTTGTGATTACTAATACAGTTGTGGCTCTTTGATTCTTTGAAATGATTCCATTTAAGTTAATATTATTGCTGGCTGAGTATTGTGTAGTGACAAAGATTGAACATCCCATAGAATGACTCAGTATTCAACAAGTAGTATTTCACTACTTTTTTTTTTTTTTTTTTTAAAATCCAAGAAGGATTCCTGGAATTGTTTACTCTTCCTATATATCTGTACTTCTATCCATTGTTTCCTGGCTCAAATGTAATTTTTATTAGTATTTTAAATTTTTTTTTTTAATGATAGGTAATAATGAAAATTGAGATACAAAATGATTGGTGGGAATCTGTTGAGGAAGAGAAAGGAAGATTATTTTTTTTTTTTACTGGGTGTTGCTTATGAGGTGATATTATGTTAATTCATATGTCTCTACCACGGTGTTAGACTGCATTTAAAACTGACTAATAAAAAGAAGTTGTATTGATTTGTGAAGTCAGGTGTATTATAGGTGTTAGGTTATATTCTGGCAGATCTGCTTTGCCATTTGTTTTAAGATTCAATAATGGAAGATTTTCCTGTGATGCTAGAGGTATGCAGCAGTGAAGACTTAGAAGTTTTGTCCTTTACCTGCAATTTCTAGGACTGTTTTACTTAGTATTGCATCTTCACTAAAGAGGGAAACAATACCTAAATCTCACCGTCTTGTATTTCTAGTATAATCATTGGTATAAAAGTTTCACCTTTACATTGTAATTAGTATAATGTGCCTACTCATTCTGCTTGTTGATAGCCTAAGCAAATGTAGATCACTGTAATACATCATTATTAATATTGTAAAAAAAATACTGTATTACACATGAACACTGTACCATTGTTCAAGGCCAAGTTGAAAAGTAGAAACTTACCATGAACAAGAGGAGCTGTTTTAAGTATCGGTTAATAGGTCTGAATATTTAGTGCGCCAACTGTCCATTGTGGTATTATAAATTGTTCCTGGTTTGGCTTGACTGCAATTCGTGAATATGTTTTACTTTCTGACCAACTTGGTCTTTAGGAGATGTTTATTAACCAGGTCTTTGTGACCATCAGTCATTAAAGGGTTACTACATGCTCAGCTTGCAGCCATAAATTCAAGCTGGAAAAGGCTGCTGGAGAGAAGTTGCTGTGTAGAAATCGGGGGGAAAAAAAAATCACTGACTAATTAGATAAGTATTACATTTTTCAGTGTGAAAGTTGTCAAACTACAAGGCTTTTATTGTCAGATGAGCCAGATAAGTGTGTATAAGCTAATTTCTTAAAAAAAAAAAATCAGCAAAGTTACTAAGATAATTTCTGATGTGATATTATTGAAAATAAAAATGCAGAAACACAAGTTAGAATTTTAGTAACTTTGTTTTCCTTAAGGTAATATAACTTTATCTGGTGCATAGCGGCCTCTTTAGCTTCTCTTGCCTTTTAGGTTTTTTTTTTGTATTGTATACAGTTATTTCATTGCATTGGAAATTATTTGGCAATATAGATGCCATATTTCATGAATGAAAGTGTTTAGAAATACATGGTTATGTAAATTAATATAAATATTTTAATTTTATTTTCATGTGAACAAGGTCTTGAGATTTAAGATAGTTTGCTCAATATTGTCCTGGTGTAGAACTTCAGGTGTTTGGTTTTTAATAACATGAATAAGGAAGAAAAGAAAAAGAAAACTTAAAATTCAGGCAAACAATTGTTTTTGTAAGATAGTCACATCAGAATTTTTCCTTCCTGTGTTTCTCAAAATGTAGTCTCACTTGGAGTAATTCTTAATTTGACACTTCAGTGCTTGAATAGGTCTGACCTTGATAGGATGCAAAGCCTTAGAGGAAAGAATAATTAAAAACATGGAGGTAAATGGAATGTGGAATAAAATGCAGCGTGAGTGTCCTGGGTAGAATGTGCCAGTCTGATCTGAGACTTCCTTCTCTCTCTGTCTGTGTCTCTTTTTTTCATCTCTTCTGTGTGCATCCCCTAAACAAAATCTGATCTTACCACTGGGTTTACTGGATGTCATTACATTATTTCATAGAACCATAGAATGGTTTGCATTGGAAGGAACCTTTAAAGATCACCTAGTTCAACTCCCTTCCTATCAGCAGGGATGTCTTTCACTAGATCAAATTGCTCAAAGCCCTGTCCATCCTGACTTTGAACACTTCCAGGGATGGGACATCCACAACTTCTCTGGGCAACCTGTCCCAGTGTCTCACCACACTCATCATAAAAAAAATTCTTCCTTATGTCCAATCTAAATCTATTCTCTTTCAGTTTAACTCCATTGCCCCTTGTCCTGTTGCTATGGGCCTTGGTAAAGGGTCTTTCTCCATTTTATAAGCCCCCTTCATGTCTTGAAGGCCACAATAAGGTCTCCCCAGAGCCTTCTCTTCTCTAGCCTGAACAACGCCAACTGTCTTGGCCTTTCTTCACAGGAGAGGTGTTCCAGCCTCTGACCATTTTTGTGGCTGTCCTCCGGCCCCCACTCTAACAGTTCCATGTCTATTTTGTACTGGGGGTCCCAGAGCTGGATGCAGTACTCCCAAGTGTGGTTTCATGAGAGTGGGTAGCGGGGCAAAATCGCCTCCCTTGACCTGCTGGCCATGCTTCTATTTATGCAGCTCAGAATACAGTTGGCTTTCTGGGCTGCAAGCGCACATTGCTGGCTTGTGTTCAGTTTTTCATCTACCGGTACCCCCGGGTCCTTCTCTGCAGGGCTGCTCTCAATCTATTCATCCCCCAGTCTGTATTGATAGTGAGGATTGCCCTAATCCTGGTGCAGGACCTTGGACTTGGCCTTGTTGAAGCTCATGAGGTTTGCATGGGCTCACCCTTCAAGCCTGTTAAGGTCCTTCTGGATGGCTTCCCTTCCCTCAAGCAAATCAACACCACCACTCAGCTTGGTGTCATCTGCAAACGTGATGAGGGTGCACTCAATCCCACTGTTGTTGATGAAGATATTGAAGAGTATTGGTCCCAGTATGGCTCCTTGAGGGACACCACTTGTTACTGGTTTCCACTTGGACATTGAGGCATTGACTGAAACTCTTTGGACACAGCCATCCAGCCAATTCCTTATCCATCTAACGGTCCATCTGTCAAACCCATATCTCTCCAATTTAGAGGTAAGAATGTTGGGTGGGACTGTATCAAAGGCCTTATAGAAGTCCAGGTAGGTGACATCCATAGCTCTTCCCTTATCCACTGATGCAGTCACTCTATCATAGAAGGCCACTAGATTAGTCAGGCACAGTTTGCGCTTGATGGAACCATGTTGGCTGTCTCTAATTAGCTCCCTGTCTTGCATACGTTTTGACATATCTTCCAAGAGAATGTTTGATGATCTGAATATTGATTATTTGATACAGAGGTATCTGCAAAACTAATAATTAAGTTGCAGGTGTAAGAACTTAATGGAGAAACATAAGGTGGAGAAGGGACAAGCTATAAAATAAACTGCAGCACAGCTGTTGGGCTATTAGAGGCTTAATAAGGACATTTCTAAAGGATAGACCAGTGTTGTGTTTGAACTTGGTTTAGTATCTTCATTAATGGCATTGGTGTGGGTGGGACTGTGCTGGTAGGGCTCATCGGTAATGCAAAGTTAGGAGATGTGATGAATGCAAAAAAATCTGTGCATTTGGTGTGTGCTAATAATAGAACTGCTGTTTTCTCAGTTGGAAGTGTTGAAGGAGTAAAACTGGAGACTAGTACTTAATCACAGGTTTGTTGTGAGTATGACGAGTCATGAAACAGGGCAAATATGAGACTGTAGTTTTGTAGTGAGGGAAGTATTAATGTCAAGGTTTATGGCATTGATGAAGCTTTATCTGAATGCATCTCTGGCAGCACCTAGTCAGAGAAAATGAACCCAAATGGGAATGGTGCAAAGAAAAAGTTATTAACATAAGTGAAGTATCGAATAGCTTGTCTTGTTTATCTTAGCAAAATGAAGGCTGGAAGGGGATCTGATCGCTGTCTATAAATATATCAGAAGAGGTAAGCGCTGGGGAAAAGAAAAGCTATGTAGGCTAAAGGGTAGGCTTGGTACAAAAATGAATTGGCATCAAGTGGCTGTGAATGTATTTAGATCATTAGAAATGAGTTGAATTTCAAATCTGAACCATGTCAGTCTGAACCAACCTTCTAAAAATGCTGTGGGCAAAAATAGTTTTAAAATCATCAGATACCATCTTACAAAACGGTTTGTTTCTTGTGTTCTTTACAAGGTTTCTCCTAGGTCATGAGGTGTTCTTGAAAAGTTTGGTAGGACAATGGTGGTACCTAGTGATGTACTTAACCTGGAAGCTGGTATGTCATACTACATTCTAAGACTGAATGCAACTTTTATTTAAAGCAGGTGTTTGTTTTCTGGAGTGACTGTAGAATATGCTGTGCTTGGCTTTCAGAGATTTGGGAAATGCAGAGCTGTAGTCTGTGCTTCCAGAGAATGGAAGGTCACCCTGAAACTGAAGTGAGCTGTTCGTGTCTTTGGGAGGTACTCCAGTATTAGCAAGACCTGTCTGTAGGAAATTTTAATGTCTGGCATGTAAACCTGTTTAGACCGGGCTCTGTGTTATGTGCTGAGGTTGGACACCATCTAACAGTCAAACATGTGAAATGGTTTTGTTTGTTTTTAAAAAGAACTTTCTGGGCTTTTGTCAGTACTGGGACAAGTGTGAAATTGAATTAAAGATACTTTGGTACACTGTTGGGATACTACTTGCAAGGAAACCAGTGAAAACCGGGAGAGCACTGGTATTCCCTATAGTGAGTCTGGTCTCTGATACCCAGTTCTTGGAGCACACTGGGAAAAGTGCTAGGTAACAGCTTTTGGTCAGGTCTTCTGTGGAAAGATTGATTTTCTATGTGCCACTACAGCTGTCATCTGAGATGATTACAAGTATTCTGATTACTGCTATAGAGTTTGAAGAGTATCTTCCATGTTGCAATTCATATCAGAAAGGTGTATCCAATGGAAATTTCGTACTTGAGGATGCATGCATATTTTAAGCTGCTGAATATTTGAATATTTTAAACAGCAGATCTGGGTTTTTCAGCATCGCTGAAACCTTTTGTAAGCTATCACAGGTTAAAATACAAAGCAAGTTTGAAAGGAAAAAGAAAGGGAAAAGTTACTGTTTTAGTTCTCTTGTTCAAATCTGCTAGTATTCTTTGAAATCTAAGAGCCTCTGTAATTATCAGATGAATTAGTTACCCTACCTTATGCATGTAAAGAGAATAGTTGCTCCAGAAGGAAGGGTTTATAACACTGCCCTTACTGAACTAAATTGTTGACATTTCATCTGTACTGAAAGATTGCCTGTACATACTACTTCGTTATTTCAGGACTTTGGGAACAATTTGCTGGTTTAAATGTTCATGTTTAGCAGTAGTAAAATATTTCTACTGCTCTTGTTATCTCAATGGTGAGAGTGCTTCGGGGTGAATAATACTTTATCATTAAATTCTTAAAACTTTATCCTAGTAGAATTACGAGCTACCAATTTTAGTATGCTCTTAATGTGTATTTGGCAAAGGTAACAATGCAACCAAATAAAGCTAAATTACAAGTAAGAAATTCACAATAATGTGGAGGTTAAGTTTAAGTAACAAACATGCCTTTGATGTTAGTAACATGACAGTTATTTAGCAATGGCACTCTTTCAATAGGAAAAATATCAGGAATAAATATATATGACTGAACTGGACTCAGACTGCTATTTAAGCTAAATACAAGCATTAATATCTTTGGATGAAGTTATTCCATGTTATACATCTTATTAATAGAACTGTTTTTTGTTGTTGTTGAGGCAAAAGAAACTGTTGTCCATATTTAACGTTAAATGCAGGACAATCTCCTTTTAGTCTGTATTTTATCTAATATATAAAGTAGGTAATGTTCTCTGTACTAGAATTCATGGTAATGATCTGTGGCTGTACTTCACCCTTGAGATAGATGCTTATTGCATTTTTACTGTATTACTGCTTATTTACATTTTTACTAACAGCATGCCAGTAACAAGCTGGGGTGAATATGAAATTTTGATGCAGAAAGAAAATGTAAGGAAAAAAAAAAATTGTTTGTCTGCTTTGAAATGCCACTGTATTGTATTCCTGTATTTTCTCTGTCAGAATGGCAGGCAAAAGGTTTAAATTTCTATTTCTCTTATACCAGCCCCCATTAAAGCATGCATGCCAGCATGTGCACAAGCACCTCTATCTAGTAAGCTCGATAGCCATATGTAGGCTCTGCTTGCCCTGTTGACAGAGGAAGATTAGCTCTTTTAGGATTAAAAAATGGGCATTGTCTCAGCATTTTTTTGAAGGAAAAGTCTCTGACAGATATATCATCAGCATGGAGGCTGGCAGCATGTCATTGTTGGGAACTCAGATAAAATCTGATGTTACCCATGGTAAACAGTGCTAGCCTAGAATCAGCCTTCAGGAGCTGTGGATATTGAGGTGTGTCAGCTTTCTTATAAAGCCTGTTTTGGATTCTAACATTTACATACAGGCTGATGATAAAACTAGTAACTATTTCTCAAGTGCCAGGGTAGAATAAGAAGTGAAAGATTCTGTATTATTGCTCTAATATATGGATATCTACCTGAGAGCCACGGTTATTACTAATCTTGCACCTTCATCCACTGGTTATTCCTGATCATTCAGACTTAATTTGTCCCCCTGTATTTGGCACTGGTGAGGCTGCCCCTTGAATACTGTGTTCACTTTTGGGCCCCTCACTACAAAAAAAGACATTGAGGTGCTGGAGCGTGTCCAGTGAAGGGCAGCAAAGCTGGTGAAGGGTCTGGAGCACAAGTCTGATGAGGAGCGGCTGAGGGAACTGGGGTTGTTTAAAGCCTGGAGAAGAGGAGGCTGAGGGGAGACCTTATTGCCCTCTACAAGTACCTGAAAGGAGGCTGTAGTGAGGTGGATGTTGGTCTCTTCTCCCAGGTAATGGGCGATAGGATGAGGGGAAATGGTCTGAAGTTGAGCCAGGGGAGGTTTAGATTGGATACTAAGAAAAATTTCTTCACTACAAGGGTTGTCAAGCACTGGAACAGGCTGCCGAGGGAGGGGGTTGAGTCCCCAGCCCTGGAGGTATTTAAAAGCTGTGTAGATGTGGTGCTTAGGGACATTGCTTAGTGGTGCACTTGGCAATGTTAGGTTTACAGTTGGACTTGATGATCTTAAAGGTTTTTTTCTATTCTGTGATTCTATAATGGTGAAGTATTAATACATGTAACCATTCATAGGCTGTGAATAATTTTAACATAGGTGATTAGAGTCAGAATTTTTCTTCCAGTTGAAGAAGGTATTTGAATGGTCATGGTTTTGGTACTTCAAGAGGAAGGGATTATGTCAAATGCAGTAAATTATTTTTCTTTGTCTGCCCAACCTGAGTTTATTGTGTACTGAAAGAAAACTACCCTGCCTGAGTTTGTTTTGGTAAAGATGTTTTGAAGTGTTCTGTATGTTTCAAGTGCTCTTGGAATTTCAAAGGTGATGAAGCAGTTGTGAAGAAACACCATCCCACTTCACAAACTATTGGGATTGTATGTTTTAAGTTCACACTGTAATTTACACATTTTAAGGAGTTTGGATTCCTTTTGCCAGTCTGTTTACTTTTTTATGTGTACTTACGTCGTTTTTAGATGTGGCTGAATATATTTTACTGTGCCAGTTTACAGCTTAAATACGCTTTAGTTCTCTGCAAGAAATAGAGTGCTTTCTGGCAGAGTCAGCTTAGGTATTAGCTTCTATAACAGCTACAGTTCGATGTCTTAAATCAAAGAGGACAATATACTTAACACTTAAGCTGTTTCATAGAAAATGCTGTTGAATTTGTTTAATAATGCTTGCTCATTTTCATACAGCTCTGCAAGTTATCTGCCTTCTAATTATCAAAGATTTTATGTAATTTAATGAAATGGTAAATTCTTACCCAATTTAGGTAAAGGTGATATTCCGTGACAGGCTCTGTGTGTACATTATGACAGCCTTACTAATTTTGAATGGAGCTTCTTGATCAGCAAATCTGTCCGCTTCTCAGAAGTTCTTTATACTCGCTCTGTACTACCAATAACTAGAGATACTGTCAGTGATCTCTCACCTTTCTCAGGGGTGACACAGGCTGAGGAGGTTTGTCTAAACTCTTCCTTCCCGTTCTAGATAGGCATATTCATGTCATCATTTTTTCCCTTATGTTTGACCATCCCAGGCGGTAGAAGGATGATTTTTGGAGCTGAGGAACTGAGAGAGACCTGAATTTGCAGAGAAAATTACACCATTGATCAAAAAGATCGCTGTACAGGTCCTACCTGTACAGTAATGCATAGTATTTTGTTTTTTCTGCAGTGTAACTGGGAAGCTTGTGGCAAGCTGGGAAACTTAGCACTGTGCTTCAGCAGTGGAAACTGGCTCTGCAGAATCTGTGGCATTTCTTCCTGCCCACTAGTTGCTGTAGTCTGAGATGTGTAGTTGCCAGAGGCAACCACGGCATTAATGTTGCGGTGGCTGCACTGATTGCCAGAATAGAAATTGAGTACGTAATGGTTTTGGAGATCTCTAGTATTTCTGAGTGTGATTAGGCAGGTGTCTGTCATTCCTTTCTGAGGCCCTTGTAAGTCAGAAAGACAGGATTGTCACTGATCAGTTCAAAATAGTTGGAATAACCTGGCACTCTCACAACTTTTATTCTAGGAAGATGCTGTAATTGGTGTCTTGAATTTACACTACTAAGTGAGTTTCTGAACTCCTGTCCCCTTTAAAGTAGCTCTGACTCCCAGAGGTTGTTAGATTGAAATGACAGGTTTATAAAGCAATGATCTCTTGTTATTAGACATCATAGTTACATCAGTATACCTTGAGGATTTTATTAGTTAAATTACCACAGCTTCTGAAAACCCTAGTTGCAGATCCAGAAGTCCATTGTCTTAAGTTGTACAAATATAAAAAGGTAGTCTTAAGCAGTTTACAATGGAAGTATTGGGCAAACAACAGTAGATGAGTGCTTATGAGGTATTTTGTGTGGTGGATACAGTTAGACATGAGCCTGTCTGAGATTGAAGTGCTCAAATAGAAAGCAGCTTTGGCCTGGGTGTCATGCAAGCAGTGAGATGTTATCTTTGAGACTATAATGCTGTCCTAGCAGAGCTGTATGTTTTCTGAGTTGAAGTTGGCATGCGTTTGTCTGTCTTGGTGCATGTGCAGAATGTCTGTATCCATCTTTGCCTGTTCTTTTCCTTGTTTAGATGTGGTCTGTGCGGTATGGCCTCAAATATTTCTCCTTCCCGGTTCTCCCTCCCCCCCCGCTTCTTTTTCTCAAGGAACCAGCATGGTTTAGGCTTTTGCACTCAGGCTGTTAGTGCCAGCTTGTACTTTATTTCCCCACTCCCCCAAGGGTAGCAGTATTTATGTTTGTGTGAATGGGAACTCCAGAATCCTCTTCTGCTGTTGCATGGTTTCTTTTTTGAAGGATATGTCATGCTAATTTAGATCATGCAGCTCCTCTGAATGGTAATAGCTATTTTTTTCTGATTTACTATCCTTGTGTCTGCTCTTGCCTGTCCATGCTTAGATCAGCGCTGTCTGTTAGTATGCCACTAAACTACCAAAATAGCTGAGTTCTGTAGGAAGAGTGAAATTTAGTCATCTTTTCCTTTTGTGCACCAGTTATTGTTACCAGCTGTTTATTAAATCTGATGGTTGTGAGTCTCGAGAGGCTTTATACAGCTTTTTTTTTCTTTAAAGCTTTTAGAAAGCAGGTGAAAGGTAAAGCTGTCAGAAGGGTGCTCTAGACCTTGAAAAAGATTTCAGTCCACTGAAAGAAATCTCTGATCCTAAAAAATGGCCCCGAGCTAAAGGCTCTCTTTTGGGAAGTATCCAGGAAATGCAAAGGAGGTCACTGTGTTCATGCACCTGTGGAACAAAAGCAGATTTTTTCTTTTTTTTTTTAATTGTGTGGTGTTAGAACTGACAGTAAATATCAGAATAATTTGAAGAGTGTGTTGAATCCTATCTCATTATGCACTTTGAGAAGGCAGACACGAGGGGACCTTTCACATCTCAAAAGAAACAGAACATCTTTTTCTTTTTTTAAAAAGTTTAAAAAGCTGTTTATCAGTTTTTAAATTCACTGCTTCTTTGTCTTGAAATAAGCTATTTTTGAATAGTGTAGCTCCTTTTCTTGACTGCCTGTTGAAACGGCCTCTGAGCTGAGCCTTTTTTTACTTTGAGCAGAGTTTCCTTAGTAATAGTAGTTGAGAAGATTGAGAAGCAGAGGTCCTCAGGTTGTCTAGAGTTGCAATTAAATAAGAAGCAACCCACACCTTTGAAAGTCAGATTCAAGGTGCTGTATGCCACTAGGCACTGCAAAGACAATGCTTAGGTGGCTGTTAGTAAAACTCCCAGAATAACTTCCTCAAAAATGTTTGTGTAGCTCAAAAAAATAAATGTTTGGTCTTTCTAAGTGTATCACCAATCTTACAGGAGTATTCAGCTGCTGGGTTTTAGTTCATCTTGTGGTGTGGATGATGGGAGTTATTTTTGGATCTCACTCAATAAGTAAATGCAACTGGATCCTGCAAGAGCCATCAAGAGGCAGGAAACTGTGAAGTAGTTTTATAAATCTTCCTCTAGTGTAGTAATGTTTGACAGTGGCTAATGCAATTTCCTTCAGAGTAGTCCAGACACCTCTGTGGAATAAGGTGTTCAGAAAAGAATTGATTTCGTCTCATGCAATTAATGGTTTTGTTGTACTTTACCATTTGTTCATATAACGTATATTTTTCATCCAGTTTGATCTAAAGTTTGCTTTCTTTGTATTTTTTTAATGGAAAAGTAGTTGTCATGTTTTCAATGCTGATGAAAATTATTTTGTCGTAATTTAATGTGTAATTTTTAAAGAATAAGGTTCTTAAAAGTTGATGTACACATGAAATATTACTGAATAAATTTAATGTTCATATGAAATTCCATTTTCTAAGTTATATTCTTCTAGAGCCTGTGCAGTCTTGCTTTCAGATGACACAAGTGTAAGGGAGATTAAAACAGCCTAGAACACTGTGAACTTTACTTGCTTTTTGTGCTGTTTCTGTGTGGCGTCACATGGAGGTGATCTCTGTTGGAAGACGTGCTTTTGCAGCTTGACATTGAAATTATGCCTCTTGTCCCATCCAATCTTAGAGGCAATTCCTGTCCTGATGGTTTACCATAAACACAGTTTAGAGAATACACTGCATTGAATATGTAAATATGGCAACTACAACTTTTCTGTGGATCAGTTAGAGTATATGCATAAACAGAGTATCATCTCTCTTGCCTATTTTGAGTTTAAAAGATGAGGTTGATATCTGTTTCTGTCAAGTCTACAGGAGCTCAGAAGCACAACACAAGTTGAAATCTCAGGAGCAGTTAGTATGCTTCAGTATCATAGTGGTTTCTTTCTTTAAACATTTGACAGAGTTCCAAATTATGTGTTACTTCTATTCCTAAAGAAAATGCCAGCAAAATTACTTTTGCATATGATCATTACCTTCTAGGTACTTAAAATGTTAAGAATGATTTGGTAAAATTAGCATATGTGTATATGAACTTTTTGCGCCAGCAGCTTGAGTCTATCATACTATTTAAGAGGTATTTGTTCATTGCTGAATGTATATTATTATAACTAAGGTGACAGACCGTGCTGTGCATTTAACAGCATATGTGCGTAACAACAGATGTATGACTTAACCTGCTTTTAGAAATTTGTTGCCATCAAGTTATATTTTAAGAGTAATTTGTACTGTATAAGCAGATATATTTTCCAGAGATACATGCATAATTAAAAAACCAATCCTTTTTTCAGGTCCCTTTACAGATGTAGTAACTACAAATCTTAAATTACGAAATCCGTCAGATAGAAAAGTATGCTTCAAAGTGAAGACCACAGCGCCTCGTCGATACTGTGTGAGGCCAAACAGTGGAATTATTGACCCAGGATCATCTGTAATTGTTTCAGGTATGCAGTTGTACATTAGGTGTTTTTAGGCCTTTTCATGAAGTTCTCTAATGCTTGATCTTAGAGGCTGTTTGAAGTATGTCAGTTTTTTAAAAATATTTTTTTAAAATAAAATTGTTCCCCTTCATTAGTGCTATGTCAACTTGGTGTAGAGCTGCAATGATACATGAAAAATCCTCCATACAGAAATACTTGGCATTTGTCACATTTATCTGCAGCTCTCTGAAAGGAGGAAAGGGAAGTTAGAAATGGGCAGTGACATTACCTTTGCTTCAGAATACTAATTCATGCTTATGTCTTGAAGTAGAGCATTGCTTGGCTGTGTTTGAAGTATAACGTTTGACTGTTCATTACATTAAAAAAAAAAATTATTCACAATTCTAGACTAGTTGTTTTGACCATAGTATTGGTCCCTGAACTCTATTGTTTCAGAATTCTTCCGTTTATCACAGTAGTATATGTTAAGTGGCAATCATTAAACTGCTTTTAAAAAATTAAATTTTCTGTTATTTTAAGTAAGTGGAGCAGTGTAGCCCGTAAATTTGAAAGATCTAGTACATTTTTGCTAGAGTGAGTAGTATTCTCCTTATTCTATTTTTGGGTTTAGGGTGAGGGGATTAAAAAAAGAATCCTTACTTTTCAGCAGAGTGTGAGCCCTGAAGTCAGACAATTTTTTTCCTTTTTTCCATGAAATTCCATGTAGGTTTGGCTTACATACTTCATTCTGACAATACGCAGAATTTTGATAGCTGGACATATGATGGTCTAATCCTGTACTAGACTGTACAACGTCAGATAAGGTCTTAGTAATTGTGCGAGTGGGAGTAGACATTCTCAAGAAAATTGAAAAAGACTAGGTATCAGTCTTCTGATTTGGTAAATGATTTCCTTGGGTCATTCTCCCAGTCATTTAGAGGTAGGAATCTCCAGAATAAAGGGGATTCTCAAACCAGTGACTGTAAGAGGTGAGAAACTTTCTCTCTGGACCTACCATCTTTCCCAACTTGGAGAGAGGAGAATCACCTTTTTATACACTGTGGTCTTTTAGGCTGTAGAGATCACAGTCAATATAGGTGTGAGCTCCTAGGTCTCTTAAGTCTTAGAAAGCTGATTTTTTTTGTAGAACCCTTGGAGAGCTGTAGCAAAGCAAAAGTGAAATCTGGAGCAATCCTCAGAGCTTTTCAGATTCATACTCTTATACCCTTTGTGAAGTTTAAAAGAAGCTGGAGAACTAGCTTCAGGTAATATGTTCAAACGTGGCAAGGACTAACTCAGGAAACCTTTGATTAATTCAAACCTTAGAGTAACTTTCCTTGTAGGAGAGACACCAGTTTCTAATCTAATATGATCTGTAGAATGTGACCCTTTAAAACTTCAGTATTGCTTTCCATGGACAGTCCAGTAACTTGTGGATGAAAGATCATTTTACTGGGAATTTGTTCAAGATTTAAGTAGTCAAAAGCCTAAGTTATTTGTCTTCAGCTTCAACTTACAGCCATTTTGTCTTAACTTTGTGTTTGATCTGGTATTGGGGATCTTTCCCATTGGGTAGTCATACGTCATGTTCAAGATATTGCTGGACTTTTGCTTCAGGGAATTGGATAGATAGAAGTATTCCGTTTGCCTATTGTAAAGTGTGTTTTCATAGTTACAAATTATCCTTTTAATGCTTTGAATATTTCAGTTTTTTAAACGAGGCGGTACTGGAGCTGTAAACAACATTCTAGCTTCAGGTTTGCCAATAAAGGGAAACAGTATCGTACTGCTTGACTCTTCAGTTTACATAGCAGGGAATCTTTGATATCTCTTTTTCTGTATTACTGGATTCTCATGCAGTGACCCTGCAATGCTTTCATGTGCAGTTGTTTCACTATAGTGACTCCACAATGCTTTTCAGAATTAAATTCTCTTCCCCAAACTGTCAGCTTCATCTTTTTGTTTTTAAGCATATAATTTCTTTCGGGTCACTTGGTAAGCTAAGTGCGCAGATAATTTTTCTAGTGACCCACTTTGTTATCTCATCAGTCTCTCAACTGAATGTTTTCAGTGCTGACTCATCTTTCATATAATTGAAAATAGATTTCTTTCACATGGTTGTGCTGAGAGAAGTCACTATAGGATACCATGGGCTGAAACTCCGTGTTCAAAACTAATTGTTGAGATAGTGTTAGCGGTCTTCAGCCTGTATAATGCATTGTGCAGATTCAGAGTCAAGCCAGTTTTTAAATTAATTGTTGGAAGAGTGATTTAACAATTGTTTTAAGGAAGTCCATGGACATTTTGTTTATCATTCGGTTCTGAATCACTAGGTAACCTTCTCCAGCCATGTTTATACAGTTTTTTTTTTTTCCAGAAATACTAGTTTGGTAAGACCTGTTTTTCTTTACCTTGATGCCCTAAATTAACTATTATTGTATCACGTATTGCTTGTTGTTAACTTGATTTTTCTTTTCAGAATATAGTGTGTTACTCTTCTTCCTTCACAACTTGTTGCCATTCTTCCTTCTGGTTTTCAGACCCCTTTAAGATTTATTTTGTGGCAATAAAGCCCTCCTGTGTAGAAAACCTAGGCCTATTAACAAGAGGCTTGCTTTTGTAACTACCTGTTGCAATTCCCCTAGAAGTGATCTCTGGACTACTCAGTGATTCCAAGAACATGTTGAAAACTGGGGCTTCATATGCTCATTAGATTTTCCATGATTACCTAAAACCGTTAAGAGCTTGAAGAGCTCTTTTGAATTTGTGGATTGTCTTTTTCTGCTGCTTTTCAATTCAATCAGATTTTCAGCTGTTACTGAGTGGTCAAAGAATATAAGGTTATTTAACTAGATATCCAAGAATTCTGCCAGCACGTGAAGTTGTTCTCTGATGATGGAAAGCTGGCTTTGCCATTTTTCAAGTTATTTCATCTGTTCCCTTGGCTTGAGGAAACTGAAGTGCTGCATGCTATTCAGTAGTCTGTTGATGGAACAATTCTTAGAGATAAATTGCTATAGCATCCATACCTGGAAGAAGCATTTGGTTTGATCAGTTATGTTTTAGATCACAGTGAGACCAGTGATTAAGGAAACCTGACTTTTAAACCTTTCCAAATAGGGTTGTTTGAAAGCATGTAAAATACTGCAGTTCCTTTATGTGCTTTATTTGTGGAACATATCTGATTCAGATTATTCACTTATCCTTTGATTATGCTGTATGTAATGTTTAAGGAAAAAGAAGAGATAACTGTCCTGTAGCAAACACTGGAGTTCCCATTCTGTGGAAGACAAGTGTATGTACACTGTCAAATAATCTATCTCTACAGTTCACTCTGAGTCCTCATCCTCTAGTAGACCAAGTTGCAAGTGTAGCCACATATACGTATTTAAATATAATTTCTGTGGTCCTGTACTCCCATCTGGAATAAGGCAACTAATTGTCTCTGAAAGGAGACAAGGGGGCTAACATGGTAGTTTGTTTCAGGGTCCACTCCAGACAGTGTGGTTGGAGGTAGACTCTGCTGGTTGTGCATCCATCCCTCTGCTTCAGTTGTCCCCCAACACTACCGTAACAAACCTTGTGTATTCAGGTATTTCTGCAGACCCTTATATTATGTCCCTGGATATGCAACTATATCCTATAAAAGTTCTAATCTCCTGGTTTGATATGCTGGGCAGACCCTCCTCTTAGGGAAGTCTGTTGGCTCCTGGGAGCCTGGGTAAGAGACATTGCTAGGAAACTTCCTAGCCTGGTCCAACCCTTGGACTACTATATTCTACTGCTCTTCCACGTGGGTGCTGATGAAGTTGCAGGAAGTAGCCCGAGGGTGATTAAAAGAGAATTCAAGGCCTTGGGACGGTTAGTAATGGATTCTGGGGCGCAGGTTATTTTTGCTCCTTCCAGTGGTGGGCAGAGACATTGGGCAAAACAGGTGGACTCAATCCATCAACACATGGCTCTGTGACTGGTGTCACTGCCACAACTTTGGGTTCTTTAATCATGGGATGGCCTGCACGGCACCAGGTTTGCTGGCCTCAAATGGGAGCCAGCTTTCTCAAAGGGGGAAGAGAGTCTTTGCCCAGGAGCTTGTGGGGCTCATTGACAGGGCTTTAAACTAGATGTGAAGGGGGAGGGGGAACGTATCAGGCTTGCCAGCAACAGGCTAAAGGTCAACACACAGTGGTTGGAGGGATGGGGGGCTAGTATGAGCCCTCAACCCATTGCCCAGTGGCGTGCCAGGGACACTGCAGCGAAGTTGAAGTCTTGCGGAGGTGAGCTGGAGGCTCCTGAGGTAGTAGGAGCCAACAAGGAAATGCCTGTGAAACACCTCAAGGGAAACAAGGGGTGTTCTGCTATGAAGGTAACGAGGCCGACAGCTCAGATTAAATGCCTCTATACAAACGCACACAGCATGGGAAATAAACAGGACGAGTTGGAAGCTATCATGCTGCTAGAAAGCTACGACCTAATTGCCATTACGGAAACTTGGTGGGATGGATCCCACGACTAGAATGTAGCTATTGATGGCTACAGGCTATGCAGAAGGGCAGGCGAGGAAGGAGGGGCGGAGGCGTTGTCCTTTACATCAAGAAATCATTACAGTGTGAAGAGCTGTCCCTGAAAAATAGCCACAGGCAGGTCGAAAGCTTATGGGTAAGAATCGGAGACAGAAGCAAAAAAGGGAGCCTAGTGGTTGGTGCCTACTACAGGCTGCCAGATCAAGAGGAGCCTACTGATGAAGCATTCTTCCTCCAACTACAGGAGGCTTCGCCCTCACAGGCTCTCGTCCTACTGGGGGACTTAAACCACCCCGACATCTGCTGGAAAAGCAACACAGCAAGCTGTAGGCAATTCAGCAGATTCCTAGAATGCATTGAGGACAACTTCTTAAGCCAGGTAATAGATACCCCTACCCGAGGGGATGCAATACTGGACCTGGTGGTCACCAATGCAAGTGAGCTCACTGGAGATGCCAAGATTGGTGGCAGCCTGGGCTGCAGTGACCATGCACTGGTGGAGTTCACGCTCCTGAGGGAAATGGGAATAGCGAAGAGTACAGTCAGGACCCTAAATTTTAGGGAAACAAACTTCCAACTCTTCAAGGAGATAGTCAGAATGACTCCCTGGGAAACGGTCCTCAGGGACATGGGAACAGAACAGAGTTGGCAGATCTTTAAGGATGTGTTCCACAGAGCGCAAGAGCTCTTGATCCCCAGGTGTAAGAAATGGGGCAAAGAAAGGAAGGAGACCAGCAAGACTGAGACGAGAGATGCTGGTCAAACTAAGGAGGAAGAGGGAACTGCCCAGGCAGTGGAAGCAGGGACAGGCACCCTGGGAAGAGTATAGGGATGCTGCCAGGTTGTGTAGGGATGGGGTCAGGAAGGCCAAGGCGCAGCTGGAGTTAAACTTGGCAAGGGACATGAAGCATAACAAGAAGGGTTTCTACAGGTATGTCATCCAGAAAAGGATGGTTAAAGGATGGTTTCCTGGGGTGTATTAAGAGGAGTGTGGCCAGCAGGTCAAGGGAGGTTTTCCTCCCCCTCTACTCTGCCCTGGTGAGACCCCACCTGGAG